AAATATTTTTACTAGGCTATTTAAAATAACTTTTCTATTTGAATATATTTTCAAATGTAATTTATTGTGATTTCAAAGCTGAATTTTTTTGCATCATTACTCCAGTCACACTATCCTTCAGAAATCATTCTGATATTCTGTATTATTATTATTATTATTATTATTATTAATGTTGAAAACAGCTGAGTAGAATTTTTTCAGGTTTCTTTGATGAATAGAAAGTTCAGAAGAACAGCATTTATCTGAAATACAAATCTTTTGTAACATTATAAATGTCTTTATCATCACTTTTGATCAATTTAAAGCATCCTTGCTAAATAAAAGTATTAATTTCTATAATTTCTTTGCCAAATAAAATAAAATTATACTGACTTCAAGCTTTTGAATGGTATGGTGTATAATGTTACAAAAGCTTGTTATTTCAGATAAATGCTGAAAATACAGCTGCGCATTACAGAAAGAAATTACAGTTTAACAGATATTCAAATATAAAGCAGTTATTTTAAATAGTAAAAATATTTCGCAATATTACTGTTTTTGCTGTACTTTGGATCAAATAAATGCAGGCTTGGTGAGCATGAGAGACTTCTTTAAAAAACATTAAAAATCTCACTGTTCAAAATCTTCTGACTGGTCGTGTAGATGTGTCACTGTTTGCTGAAATAGTTCAAAGGTCAAAGATCATAGCGATCTGTGCCTCTCTGCTGTCTGCGGCTGCGTGTGCTTTTACTGGCGAATGAAAACAGATGCTCGTGCACTCACATGTCTTCTCCTTAATGCTCGTCCACTCCGGTTGGTCCAGAAGGAGATCTCTGACCCTGCTGCAGAGCTGAACGTTTCCTACATAGTCCAGCAGCAGATCAACGAGCCGCCCGGCTGAGTGTCTCCAGCAGGAGGACGAGATCCAGTCACAGAACTGAAAGACAACAGATCACAGTCAGAGCTGCAGAAGATAAAACACACCGCAGGCCTACTAACCCTCTATGGTATGCATCATGTTTGAACCATGAAATATATATATATTTTTTAAGTTTTATTACATGAAATAACTTCCAATTGTACAAATCAAAACAGATTTTTGATATGGCAACAGTGTACCACAATAAAAACTGACCAAAGTAGTAGTTTTTCTATTAAATTATGATTTTCTTTTCAACTGAAATGCACGTTTCTTTTAGAAATTGATGCATCTAATCTTTATTTCCATCAAAATCTGCCAAACACACACACATACAGACACACACTCACACAGACACACACACACACAAATAGACACACACACACAGACACACTCTCTCACACAGACACACACACACACACACACACTGGTCAGCTATCCTTGTGGGGACTCTCCATAGGCGTAATGGTTTTTCTACTGTACAGACCGTATATTCTATTGCCCTACACCAACCCTACCCCTAAACCTACCCCTCACAGGAAACTTTCTGCATTTTTAGATTTTCAAAAAACTTCATTCTGTATGATTTATAAGCTTTTGTACCCGTGGGGACCACAATTTAGGTCCCCACCATGACACGAGTCCCCATCAGTCTGTGTGTATTCAGGTTTAAGTCCACACCAGAATAGAAAAACAGGTACACACACACACACACAAACGTTGGTATTGGTGGTTTATGGGGACTCCCCATAGGCGTAATGGTTTTTATACTGTACAGACCGTATATTCTATTGCCCTACACCAACCCTACACCTAAACCTACCCCTCACAGGAAACTTTCTGCATTTTTAGATTTTCAAAAAAATTCATTCTGTGTGATTTATTAGCTTGTTTACCCGTGGGGACCTCAATTTAGGTCCCCACCGTGACACGAGTCCCCATGAGTCTGTGTGTAGTCAAGTTTAAGTCCCCACCAGGATATATAAACCAGTACACACACACACACAAACACTCACTCTCACACACACATAAACACTCACTCTCACACACACACATAAACACTCACAGACACACACACACACATAAACACTCACTCACACACACATAAACACTCACTCTCACACACACACATAAGCGTTCATTCACATGAGCACAGGGACAGTGTGTGAATAATAATAAATAATAATAATACATTTTATTTAAAGGCGCCTTTCAAAACACTCAAGGACACCTACAGTGATAGTCATAATAGTGCAGTGTGCTGAGCTCAGATCAGTCCTGATGTGTGTGTGTGTGTGTGTGTTTCAGGGCTGCTGTGTGATCTGCTGTGGTCGGACCCTGATAAAGACGTTCAGGGTTGGGGTGAAAACGATCGTGGCGTGTCCTTCACCTTCGGTGCGGATGTGGTCAGCAAATTCCTCAACCGGCACGATCTGGATCTCATCTGCCGTGCGCATCAGGTGACTAAACTCATCAGCCGTTCCTGCTGCTCTCCATCAGAGAGATACACTGCGGTCACATGACCGACACACTGCGGTCACATAGAGACAGAGCACATTTAGGCCACGCCCACCAGGGGGAAAACAATCCAATGCTCTCCATTGACTTTGAATTGCGGGAAGCTGCCTCCTTTGTCATTTCTGACTTGTAACAAAAAACAGAGCAATGTCTAAAAGCTGCTGTGTGACAAGGTGTGCAGCAAACAAGCTGAACAACCCAGAACTATGTTTTTATAAGCTGTCGACCCCCAAAAAACGAGCATTTAAGGACACGAAAAGTAGAGCGTGTCACATTACTCTGAGAACTGCGCCTACTGGAGGGAAACAGAAATGCAAGTTCATCAAATGCTTTCAGGGTTTCCAGATTTCAGACCTGCAGCGTTTAGCTTGAGCTCATGAGGTTTATGTTCAGAAACATGAAGGTGTTGGCCTGTTTTAGTTCCACGTGTGTCAGTTCAGCGTTCGGACCGCACACGGAGGTCTCTGGTGGTCTATGACTCACACACACACACACACTCACTTTCTCTCACACACACACACACTCTCTCACACACACACTCACACACACACAGACACACACACCATATTGCAATATATTGTATTTTTCCCCCAAAAATAACAATGAAATAAGTATAAATGAATTGTTGCCAAATAGCAACCATAGAGGGTTAACTGGTCAAAGACACACTGAATCAGTACCTTTAACTGTGCGTCAGTGTCGCTGGTGTGTCTCTGGCGCGTGTGAGTTCTGAGGTCGCTGTGATGTGTGTCGCAGGTAAAGCAGGGCCGAGCGTCGCAGCCGCGGTCCAGCAGATACTGCAGGAGGTCCAGCTGATGAGTGTGCAGCAGCAGCGCTGGGAAGCCTGTGTTCACATGGGCTCCGTGCTCCAGCAGCAGGGCCACAGTCTCCAGACAGCCGTGACGCGCCGCTAGCAGCAGCGGGCTGCAGGGGTCAGTGCTGGGGTCGGCTCCGGCCCTCAGCAGAGCGGCGGCGGCCCCTGTGTTCCTGGCAGCGACGGCGCAGTACAGAGCAGAAACACGCCGGTCCTGGAACCCAGCGGAGCGCTCCGGAGACAGTTTACTGTTGACGTCAAATCCCGACTCGATCAGCAGACTCAGAACGGCCCGCCGGTCATGCTCCGCCGCCAGATGAAGCGGAGAGACACCGCTCCGCCGGACCCTCGCCCGGCTGCTGACCGGGAGCAGTGAAGAAACTATCCTGAAAACATTTCACAGTTTATCCTACAAATCAATCATTCTTTACATCATCAACACACTATTAAATGTCTTAAAGGAACTGTTCACAAAAAATTTTAATGTAGATCAGGATGAGTTTGTTTCTTCATCAGGTTTGTAGAAATGTAGCATTGCATCAGTGTCTCAGCAATGGCTGCTCTGCAGTGAATGGGTGCCGTCAGAATGAGAGTCCAAACAGCTGATAAAAACATCACAATAATCCACAAGTAATCCACAGCACTCCAGTCCATCAGTTAACATCTGGAGAAGACAAAAGCTGAAACAAATCCAGCATTAAGACGCTTTTAACTAAAAGTCCATATAATCCATAATAACTGTTCCTCCAGTGAAAAGGTGTTCTGGTCTGAATCAGGAGAGAAATCTGCACATTTAGAGCTGTGCTTGATCTGTGCAGATTTCTCTCCTGATTCACACCAGAACACTTTTTCACTGGAGGAACTGGAGGAAGACAGTTTAAACCTCTTAAAGGTCCACTGAAGTGCCTTGAAACATGCAGCGTTATTCTATGTGTAGACATAATTTCAACTGAAACAGGAAGATGGGGCAGGACATATCGAGCAGCCCCGCCCCCTTTTTTAAATAGCCAATAGCGTTTTGTTTGATGATGTCATCAAAATCGTTGATCCATATTGGCAGAAGTGAGAGACTGTAAGTTTTTAATGCTTTTATCTTGTAAAAGCGAATTTTGTCATTTTTTTGGAGCACACAAGCTTAGATAACCTTAAGGATAACATATTCATACAAAAAGCCAAAAAAACTTTAATTTTGATTTCATGGGGACTTTAATGCTGGATTTGTTTCAGCTTTTGTCTTCTCCAGATGTTAACTGATGGACTGGAGTGGTGTGGATTACTTGTGGATTATTGTGATGTTTTTATCAGCTGTTTGGACTCTCATTCTGACGGCACCCATTCACTGCAGAGCATCCATTGCTGAGACACTGATGCAATGCTACATTTCTACAAACCTGATGAAGAAACAAACTCATCCTGATCTCAGATAACCTGAGGGTGAACATATTTAGAGCTAATGTTTGTTTTTGTTTGAACTATTACTTTAATACAGATTCAAACAAGACTGTAACTGTAATCTTTTCCTTCACAAAAGCGTCTGATCAACAAAATTCAACCTCTTCAAAACTAACAGCTGGTTTACACTGAGATCACTCGACTCTAAAACTAAACGCAACAGTGGAAAAATCAAGAATAATGATTTCTCAAGCAATCCAGTTGAATTAAATCAAGTTTTCAACAACATGACTGAGTTAAAATCATAAATCATCTCAGACGCTCACAATCATCACAGCTCACAGACGGATTATTTGTTCTGGTCTAATCGCGTTCATAACTCCACAAACAGCGTGAAAGTGATGAGGGACACACACATACCGCAAGATCAGCCATCCTTTCCACATACACGAACGCATAAAACCACAGAAACACGAGACACGGCACAAAACCAGCAGAAACCAGGTCAGATCCTCATGATTCCCTCAGAGAGCGAGCGAGTGACCAAGAGCCGCTTTCCTCTCTCTCTCGCTCTCTCTCTGAGAACAATACCAGCCGGAACGCCCAAACCTGACGCAACAGACCTCCACCTCTATTTGAGGGTCAGAGGGAAACACATGAGGGCTGATGGGTGGAGACCCGTGTGTGTGTGTGTGTGTGAGAGAGAGAG